AGTCTCATGTTGTGATATAGGTCTGTCAGTACATTTGGGATAATTCTAGATTGATTAATAATATAATATTGTAGCTATTGCCTTCGACTCGGAAAAAGACCACGTGGCCGATCACCTAGCCGATGGTGTTACCAAGTTACCAACTACACTGGACTCTCTGTTACGAAAGCCCTGAGAGAAGTCGAAAACAGGACAAGATGGAGGGAAATAACACAGAGAGCAATGAAAGCCTTTCAGGGACACGACCTTCAGAAATGAAGCAAGCGATCGAGAAGAAACCCTCGACTTCTTCCGCCTAGACTATGAGTTTTAGGATAAAACAATGCTTTTGTTTCAATTTTCTAAAATAAAAATGCACTATGTTACTCCTAGGTACATTAGCTACCTGTTAGTAAATCGGTTCAGCCATTTCAGAGATTAGCCAGTACAAACAGACAGATAGACAAAAAAGAAAAGTTATTTAAATATTGCAAACAAACACTCCAATTTTATTTATCTGTATAGGTAAGTTACTACTACTTACTATGAGTTGAAATAATATGAATAAATTATTCCTATTGATAACATGTTGAATAAAAAAATGTGGCTTAATCAATTAATTATGACCGGATTCCATTTTTTTCGTATTTCTATGAAACCCATTGACGCACATTAGGTAAACTAATAAATTAATCATTTTTTTTTCTGAAACATAGTAACACACATTTGAAACGGAATGATTTATACGTATTTTAATTTATTACTATTTGGTAGAAAATATTTTTTAGGGTGTTCAAAGGTTAACAATATTTTTTATAAGATTTTGATGTGTGTCGTCCTTTATAAAATCTTTGAAAAATACGTAAGCAGGTGAGCAGTGAACATGAACTTTCTTGCTCGTTCTTCTCCACTCGAATCTTTTGACTTCGTAGACTATTCTACGAAGTCATTATTACCATACAAGTAACGCCATCTAGAATTTCAGATGGTAACTAAAGGTAAAAATTATGATGTGTGATTAAGGTTGATTCTGTGTAAATCGTTATGTATTAAAGCAGTGTATAGTGCTGTACATAGATGGAGCCTTTATTTATATAAACGTACAAGTAGTTAAGCAGAAATCAGGAAGAATGAATAAGTATGGAAGGTCTTCTAATTCTGGTAGCGTTTTTAAGAAATTAGAGTAATGAGATGGTAGGTATATCGATTTTTTATTTCTTATTTTTATTTTTAAACAATTTTTTTCATATGCATCAAGGACTTGTCTTGAGTGAAGAGCTAATGCAACTATTGGCTGACCGGTTTCTACGGAGTTCGATTCCCGCACGACACTAAGGTATCACACGGCATAAACGCACTTGGAATTGGAACACGGAAAAAATCTTAGTATGAGAGTAGAAGTTAAAAAACCTTTTTGTTCAAAAGATAGATGATGTAATAATATAATGATAATGTAGTATAGTAAGAACGCCTTTTTTTTGTTTTTTTTTTAAGAGGGGAAAATCATCGAATGACTGCTCCCGCCTGAGTGAGGCGGGAGGGAGTGTCAGACTTTTACTGACTAAAAACCACCCCGTTCCTTCTCCTGCACGTCGAGCCGGAGCCCCGGTTACCCGTTAGGTTCTCCGCGACATAGTAAGAATGCCTAGGGCATCAAGCCCACCTTTGTTTTGTGGCCAGCACATTAACCTACTTCAGTGTGTCAAATTGTGTCATTCCATTTTCGACTCTATATCTAAACAATAGATTCCAACAAATTGACAGAAAGTAGTAGATTGATTTGCTGAGCACTGTACACTTTTGTTGCAATAAAATAACCAATTCTTTATAAACAACATTTAAAACAAAACAACTTCAATCCCCTGTTATTTTGAAGTTAGTTAATTAATATATTAAAATCTTCTCATAAGTGTGTCCCTCCTAACAAACACTTTTCTGAACACCGCATAAAAATCAGTTCAGCCAGTTCGTGAGATAATCGCGCACAAACAAAAAAGTCATACATACATCGACCTGTTTGAATTGAGAACATCCTATTTTTGATTTTGAAGTCGGTTAGTAAATAAATGATGCACAATGAAGAAAGTACTCCAAGCAGTATTCATTGTCCAAGATAATAACATCACGCCTTTTCTCCCCGAATGGGTAGGCAGAGGTACACATTACGGCACTTAATGCCACTGTACAATGTAGCACCCACTTTTCACTATTTATGTTATGAGTCCCATGTAATAGGGGGTGAGCCTATTGCCATATACTGGGTGCATTTCCAGACTCCGTGCTACTACTGAGGTTTTTTTAGAAACCCAGTAATACTTTGCGGAGACCCCTTGCCCCATGTCCGGCAGTCGCACTTGCGACCACTCGGCCAACGAGGCAGTCATAATTGTCATTGTCCAAGATACTGCAGGTTAAAGGTCATAAACCCTTCAATGGACTTGGTGAACCAGGAAATTTATTTACCCTTTATCACAATTCCGTGCTGAATGTATCGAGTCACGAATTACGGTCCTTTTTTATGTTAAAATCGACACTTCCTTAATGTAGGAAGTGAACACTGTCGTCACTTACACTTTAAAGAAACCCTTTGTTCATGTTGTAGACAGGTATTATTGTTGCTTCCTTGCACGCAGGCAGATATTGCAGTTTTAATAATAAAAAACATGTGACAATAAAACGAGTTTGAAATATGGATGCATGGAATAGAAAAAGATGTTCAAAGAAACGATTTTTTATAAAGGTATAAGCCGGTAAACGAGCTAATGGATGACCTGGGTGCTTACTCTTGAAACCCATCTCAATGTCAATACAATTTCAATCCAATAAAATCTCAATAATTATCCAATGTCAAAACTATACAACCCCAATCGTAGGTGTTAAAGTAGCATTTAGCATACGGAATATAAAGCCAAACTCAATACCATTTAGTTCATATAATATCCACGCAATACAAATGCAATTGGCGCTAGTGTTGCAACTCAAGAGTACGAAATTTTACAATACCAATGTCGATCGATCGGAATTGGATTCAAGAGTAAGCCACCTGATGGTAAGCTATAGGCGTCACCCATGGACACTCAGAACACCAGAGACGTTACAAGTGCGGTACCGGCCTATTTGTGATTAGGAACTTGAGGATTGTTGGGGATTCAGGGATTGGGAAAACCGGGAGAGGGATGAATAAATTATTGTTTTCCGGCTTACTCACGTTACTGTTTGACGAAAAAGCGACTAGATTCAAACCACGCCAGGGGCTTAAAAAGATGAAATACATATATTAGGGTAGAACGACGTTTCTTTGTCAGAAAAAAAGTATTTTAAGGAATGAGCAAATCTCCGTCATTTCGCATAGGAGATAATTATATTAGCCAGTCATAACTTATTACAGACAATAGTCGGACTATTGTCGGGTAGCTCAGCTAGGCTATTCCGAAACTGTTAATTCGAATTTTCGAAATGAGCTCAATCGCATTCTGGCCCATCATTGGTCGAGATTATTTCTACAACCAATGGACATGGCGGTCCGCCATCAAGTTCTGAGTCTAACTGGATTGAACCAGCCATAACAAAATCTCAATGTCCTGTGAAGTGACGACAAATGTATTATTTCTGTCCCACCACCACAGAGCAAACGACATAATAATATCTAAATACCGGAACTATTTAATATTAACACCTAGGTACTATTATTTATGTATGTCATAAGAAATTGCAATCGTATGCACTTTATTATGAAACAATAACAAAACACGTTCACTAAACGTATGTCTGTATATCTTAATGTAATTTTGTCGACGCATTGCATTAGTTTTTATTGATTATTAATTAACTATTATTCATTAAATCTTGACCACAGTGATGTCATGTGATCTACTGTCCATTAAATTCTTTTGACAAGTGTATTACTGTTTTAATAAAAGGGTTCTGTATAGACTCATGGTTTTTGAAGATGATTTTATTTGCTAACTAGCTTCTACCAGCTGCTTGGCCTACGTTCTCGGGGGTAAAAAGTAGCCCAAGTACTCAAGACCATAAATTCGATATGACTGAGTAATAAACATACACAATTTTTTTTGCATTTATAATAGCGGTTCAACCTAATCTGAACCATTGGCCCTGCAGTTATAGCTTGAAGTCCACTGCGGGCAACCTAACATTCTGCAAACTTATATTTGCGTTTGGTACAGTAACTGTGTCTAGGGCCGCACAATAAATTAAGTTTGTTATTTCGTGTATTCATTTTTCGGGATAAAAAGTGTTGTGCCCAGGATATTAAAGTATAATCGTACCAAGTTTCATTGTAATCGGACCGGTAGTTTAATGTAGCCATTATAACTTACTATAGTTAAAAAATAACTGCCTCGTTGGCCGAGTGGTCGCAAGTGCGACTGCCAGGCAAGGGGTCTCGGGTTCGATTCCCGGGGCGAGTTAAGTGTTACTGGGTTTTAAATAAAAAATTCTCAGTGGTAGCACGGAGTCTGCAATTGTTCAGTAGGTATATGGCAATAGGCTAACCCCCTATTACATGGGACTCATAACATAAATAGTGAAAAGTGGGTGTTATATTGTACAGTGGCATTAAGTGTCGTAATGTGCACCTCTACGTACCCCTTCGGGGGTAAAATATGTGATGTTATGTTATGTTATTAACTTAAAATAGACCTTATAAAGTAGACCTTTTTATGTAGCCACTATAACATACTGTAGTTAATAAATAAGAAATAATTCATTTAGAAAAATGTAATGCTACATAACATAACAATGTAATACTTTTTTTAAACAAATGTAATACTTTGTTTATAAAAAACTGTTGGTGTTGTTATGGAGACAAATTAGTTAATTATCGGCTCGTGGCATGGTTATAAAGCAGGTAAGAGGTTTAATCAAATGGTCGATAAAAAATTATGGCTCGATTTATTATTTCCCATTATATTTTAGTGCATTCGTCTTTTATTGTTTACTAAACGTGATTGCTAGAAGTGGTACATTGTTTCTGTGTAGTGAGTTTTATTTTTCGAAGTTTGACGCTAAGTTTTAGTCCGTAATATCTCCACTCGAGACTATTTTTAAATTATTGTAGCGGATCTCTAAAATGCATCGATCTTTCTCCAACGTTTATGTGTTATCCGTAGGCTCACATTAAAGGTTCATTTGTTGTCAGCTGATCGCGGTATATATATTGCAAGTGCATCGGTGATCCAACGCATTATCTCGCCATCTTTGATTTAGTATCTATCTTAACACCATAAAATGAAGAGTTTTGTTGTGTGTTTGGCGATCTCTGTCCTGGGTGTGGTTCAGGGTAAGTATATTTACTGCCTTAACCTCATTTTCCTACATCGATCGGGAATCCTATCAAAATTAAGTAAGTCATTCATATAGAATTATCATGGAGTATACAGAAATATTTTTTTTTGTCAGTATTTCCCTATTGACTTTATATATATATATAGCTTGATTATACTTAATTGTTGGTACACTGACTCTGAGTCTGACCAGTGGAATGTGATTCGGGTTTGAGTAACGCAAGGAACGGCGATTTATCCAATGATTTTTTATGGCAATAGGCTCATTAATTATTAAATGGCACTCATAACATAAATAGTGAAAAGTGGATGTTACATTGTACATTGGCATTAAGTGCCGTAATGTGCACCTTTGCCGACCTCTTAGGGGATAAAAGGTTATGATGATGTTTTTTTACAGAGAAATACTTTTCTTTTTGACTAATTCGTAGTTTATTCTGATGTCATTCAAGTGATTGGGACCCATGATAATGATTGCATGTACTTAGTTCACCAATTACATGGTCTGTACATTGATTAATATAATTTTCTTCCACCGCTTTTCTCGTTAGAATAACTCATTAGTATAGTTAGGCTATTTCCGTTTATCAATAATAATTGGTTGTATTAATAGGTGAGATTACAGCTATATCCAAGAGGTGTTAATTACAAAATTCATTACGATTAGAAGTAGACGGAGTATGTTACGAAGAAATAGAAGAAACGCTAAGTGGTTACATCATTACGTTTCTGTTATTGTTTTAGTTCTTTTAGTATATCCGGGTTGTGGTGGCAATTATACCTACTTCATCTTAGGTTTTAGGCTTTTTGGGACAACCCCGCCACAACCTCCCAAAACCACTGCAACTTCTGTAAGCCAGGATCTATAAATAGATACAACCATGAAAGTCTAGCGCGTTATAACTTTATTGGATCCTGCAATGAAATGAATCAGAAGATATTATAAGAGGAGAAGAAAAATAAAAAAGTAATAGTAATCCTTCTTGTCTTCGAAAGATAAAATTAGTTTGGGATTGTAGTCATACGGCAATAGCAGTAGCGTGATAATAATGGTCGCCTAGTAACTAAAACATTCATTTTAAAATTAAGTGTAAGCATAGACATATGTAATGGTTTTTATAGGATGTTTTATTAATGAATGAATGAAAATGAATTAAGATTTACCTAATTTCATTAATTCTTTGCTGAATTAATATATTTTCGGCTTATTCACATAATTATTGAACTCGACTAGTTTCAAGTCATGCTAGAGGCTCATATTCATGAGCAGCATTCCGCGCCCCGCGACGTGACGATTGTCGCGTTGCTACTGTCAAATAATTACGCGAACAACCGCAAAACATAATAATTAATATAGAACCCTCAAGAAAGTTACAATTAATATCTTCTTTTATTTTTTTTTTAAACACAAGTGAATGTTTTCTAAATTCGAAACCTTTTATTGTTACCTTATTTTGTGAATTGAAACAAACGGCGGCGACGTAATACAAGCAGTAGTAGCCTCTATTCTATAAATTAAAGTAAATAAAACTAATACCACCAATGACGTACTGATCATAAACCTTATAGTGACAACTTTACAAGTTATTAGTAAGTGCCTTGTCTTGATTACTGCTACCTGGCGGCTGGCCGTGTCCTATATTATTCTCTACCTATACCTACTTAATTCAGTAATTTATATATAAGTCATAAACTAGTCAAGTTTAGTAGTTCATAATGACTTTACTGTTTATGTTATTACTATCATTGTGTTTGTATGACATGATAACAAACGGACATAAGAACATCATATGTAGATATAGATTCTTGGATCTTTATTTATTTTTGGATAGATAAACGTTTTACCATATAGGGTAGATGACTAATTTTTATTCCAATGTCCTTCTGGTAGGTTATTTTAAAACATTAGACACGTATTTCATTTTTCTTACAGAAACAAATTGACGTGATATTTCAAATCAATATATCTTCGAAAGTTGACGTCACTTCTAGATACATTTTATAAGTAGAAATAACGTTTTTGCTCCCACTCCTAAACATTGATTCGTTTTATCTAAGTTTTGTTTTCTTGTATGAAAAAATGGGTGTCTAATATTTTTTCATTATCCAACGGGCAGACTAATTAGATTATTCGTTTAATACCCTGTTTGCTGACATGTCACCTTTCATACCCTATCATGTCACTTTGTAAGTTTGTATCTAGGTTTATTGAAATATCGTAGGAAAATTTGCAATTACCACAAAGCATAAGATAGTTGAAAAGTTATGTAGATGATGAAAAAAGAACAAAAAACTCCACAAAATTATTGAATCTAACAAAAATGTGTTAGGTACTCCACATCTCTACAACATACATATTTCATGAATCTGTGAATAATATTCCAGGAGTCAACATCACGCCGTGTAAACAAGATGACACAGCTTGCCTAAAAGCCTCAGCTCAAGCAGCAGTCCCAATATTGGCAGCCGGTATACCAAATATGGGGATCTCAGTGATGGATCCCATGCACGTGGACCGGGTGAAGACAGTAGAAGCCGGATTGGCAATGGACTTTAGGAATACCAACGTCAAAGGTTTGAAGAACTGTAAGGTGTTGATGTTAACGTGAGTAGACTGCTATTGTGGTTTTATTCATTAAACGTTCCAGAATAGGGCAGTTTCCTAAATTTTATTTTAATGCCCGTCTGGTACATTTATTTAAAATTTTAGACACGTATTTTTTCTTTTCTCACAAAATTAAATCATTTCGACGATATATTAATTTAAAATATCGTGTGATGTCACAGCGTGCCACATTTTGTAGCAAGTTATGACGTAACGACCTCCAACTCCTAAACTTAGCGCCATTTTATCTAAGTATCTAATGCAACTTATTACGAGAAAATAAAAAAAATACGTGTCTAATAAATATTTTTTCGTTATCTAACTGACTGACTAATTATATTTTTAATTTTAATACCTTGGAAACTACCCAATTGTCTCCCTTTCTTTATAACTATTTGAAATTTAGATCGCCTTGGTTTAATGACTGTGAACATTCTCGGTTCAAAGTCCTTTAAAGCCTGGAACTTGAAATGATACAAAGTATGAGACATTTTATTTACGTCAAACAAATCAACCTAAACGAAACCATAGTTTGAATTTAATTCTTCCAACGCCATCTATCGATCTATGGTACAACTCTCAAGAAATTAATTTTAATAGTAGTATGGCGTTGGCCGAGTGCATCTTTTACAAAGATTATTTTCTACCTTGAACAGACTGTAATGTACTATTTTAATTTAAATAAATAATTTGGCGTTCTATTGTCTTTTTTTTTTTTAAGGGGGGAAAATCATCGAATGACTGCCCCCGCCTGGGTGAGGCGGGAGGGAGTGTCAGACTCTTACTGACTAAAAACCACCCCGTTCCTTCTCCTGCACGTCGAGCCGGAGCCCCGGTTACCCGTTAGGTTCTCCGCGACTCCGAATCGTTCTATTGTCTATGGATATCTCAATGGCTAACACGATTCTAGCGCATCTCTTTCACTTCATCTGCATTCATAAATATCTTCATCCATGCTCGTTGATTGAGGGCATCAGTTAGCAATATCGGTCACTAGCTATTTCTATATCCATACCGTATAGCTTAGTCATCACATCACTTCTTCATCACGTGTATTGCGTGCATTACATGAAAAGGTTCAAGGATTGTTCATAAAATTATACGAGTCCGAATAGTTTTATACTAGAACAAAGTTCAAATATACCTGCGTATTGACGTAGATGTGTTAACAAAAAATGAAATTACAGGTCTTACAGTTATTAAATGCATTATATGCAAACTTCTTTTTGTCTTCAAGTATAGGATGGATAACTAACTGATGGTTAGGATAATTAGAATCAATTTTACAGTATTAAAATACTTAATAATGTAATGAATAGTTTCCTCAATCTTTGTACACCCTTTTTACATAATTTCTTAACAAGGAATAATTTATTTGTCTGAAAAAACGAAGTAATTTTCTTTGGTGTAGCGATAGTAGACTATGATTAATAATTTTAATTACATGTTGGTATAGTAATTAGTATACTTCTCTTGTTAACATGATATATTACCATTATATATTTATTGACTGCCTCGATGGCCGAGTGGTCGCAAGTGCGACTGCCGGGCAAGGGGTCTCGGGTTCGATTCCCGGGTTGGACAAAGTATTACTGGGTTTTAAATTTCTCAGTAGTAGCACGGAGTCTAGAATTATGCCCGGTATATGGCAATAGGCTCACCCCCTATTACACGGGACTCATAACGTAAATAGTGAAGAGTGGGTGTTACATTGTATAGTGGCATAATGTTACACCTCTGCCTACCCCTTCGGGGATGAAAGTTAGTTACCTACTTGGTTAGGTAATCGGTATAGAAAAAGGATATTTTCCAAGTACTTATGTCTATTTTATAGTTATTTTATGATTTACATTTGACAGTTTTAGTACCTAATTGATTTACAGTCCGTAATAATGAGCCTATGTATGCGCGAAAAATAGGTACATATTACAAGTTTCTATGGAGAACCAAGACGTGCTGTACCTATAATAATAAGAGTACTTCGGTTATTAGGCAATCTAATTAATTATTGTCATCATCATCAGCCAGTATCATGATGGAAACATTACTTATTGTATTTAGGTTTTTTATGGAATACCCTTATTCCTTAGGGGGAAACCTTCAAAAAGCGAATTGTTTTTTCGGGAAAAAGACTAGCGACTGTGGGATCTTTTCTTTACCTCACTAAAACATCCCCGGTGGCCACCATCCGCACCTGAAAGAGGCACCGGGTCCTCTTAATAGACCAGCCCCAGAACCCCTAGGAATCGGGAGCATAAAGAACAGTTGGATCATCTGATGGTAAACGAAAAAAATGTATCTGGACACCTGCAATACCAAATACCAGAAGATCAAAGAAAACACAAGAACACACATGTGGTGGTGGCCTTTCAAAAAAAAACGCTCTTTTTCGAAGAGGTTCTGTTCTGCTAATTCTTCTGTTTCCTCTGCTACAGTCGTCATCCTCACCGAACGGACCTGGATCTAAAGTGTTCAGTAACCATGGACGGTGACTACACTCTTGGCGGCAAGTTGCTCATCATGCCCATCGAAGGCAGTGGGAAATACACCATTAAAATTAGTGAGTATGTTTTTAAAGTCTTTCTTCATGAGAGTCAGTTATTGAGGACAGAATTAGATTCGATTAGATTAGATTTGACAATTTAAGCTTAAAATTCGTGTCTGATGCCGAAAGTAACACGTAATTTATATCTAATGATAAGTCTCATGCAATAGACGCAGACTTCAAACTATATTAAAATACACATCATTTGTAAAGACCGATTATGACTTGAATCTAAGTACAAAAATGAAATGCTAAGAAGCAAAAGTTCATCAAGGCCTAGGTAACTAGGTTTAAAGAGGTACCGTAACGTAGATTTTACTGCTGGGCAAAAGCCTCATTTCACATGGAGAAGAGATGAGAATGTACCACCACAGTAAACACAAAATAAAAGGTTCCTCAACCTAATGCCGAGGTTCCGATGCCCGACGTTAGTAGAAGATTTTAATCCATCAGTTTTCTATTGGCAGTCAAAGACCTTCCACTATTTTCTTACTTTGCAGGAGGCATTGTTGTTAAGATTCAGCTTGATGTGGACGAGAAGGCTCGGGACGGTGGAACCTACTGGGTGGTGAAAGATTGGAAGCATACCACTACCGTCGAGAAGGGAGTCCATTTTAAGTTCCGGAATTTATTCCAAGGCAACAAACAGTTGTGTAAGTATTGTAAGCTATATAAATCAAAATTAATTTCTGTCGTTAGTCCCGCTAAAACTCGAAAACGGCTGGCCCGATTTGACTGATTTTGGTGTTGAAATGCTCATGGAAGTCCAGGTAAGATCAAAAGTTGGGAACAATATTTTAGGTGGTACGAAGTTTTCCAGGTTAGCTAGTTCTAGTTATGTTACTTATATCAGAATAATGAGAAGGTGAATGGATTGTGTGAGGAATGATAAATGACATGAATTAAACATTAAAAATAGGTTGTGATACTTAATCCTACTAATGTTCTAATGCGAGTTTCTATATTTCTTTGTTACTCCTTCACGTCGAAACGGCTGAAGGGATCGTGATGAAATTTAGAACACGGGGTAGATTATGATCAGGAATAACACATAGGCAATTTTTATTCCACGGGAATGTTGGCGAAGCCGTTGGCAAAAACTTGTATGTATCAAATAGGTTTGACTGCAAGGTTAGCGCGGTGGCTAGGCAACTGGCTGTCGTGATATGTGTAGCGGGTTAATTTCCTTTTTTTTTTTTTTTATGGAATATATAAGCCGGTAAACGAGCAGACGGATCACCTGATGGTAAGCAATCGGCGTCGCCCATGGACACCTAGAACACCAGAGGCGTTACAAGTGCGTCACCGGCTTTTTGGGGATTAGGAGTTTGAGGATCGTTGGGGATTCAGGGATTGGGGAGATTGGGGAAGGGGAAGGTAATTGGGCCTCCGGTAACCTCACTCACACGACGAAACACAACGCAAGCGTTGCTTCACGTCGGTTTTCTGTGAGGCCGTGGTATCACTCCGGTCGAGCCGGCCCATTCGTGCCGAAGCATGGCTCTCCCACACTTAAACTCCACTTAAACTCCTGCATAGAGCAACTCTTTGTGTAATCCACAAATGGTTGTTGTATCTGGGTGTGAAATTATATGTTTGCAAGAAGACTATCCTAGTGTGTAGCAACGATTTATGAGAAATATGAGATGGCCTTTTGTTGAAAATTAAAATCCTTTTAATCTCACGACATGATTATGAACTATACAAGTATGCAGTAACCATGCAAACAGCATCAATCAATGAAACAATAAACTAAGCCTAGTTATGAATAAGATTAAGGTCAAGTTTCACACAGTTCTACCAATAGTAATGTAGATAACTAACTTAATTGAATGAATTATCTTTTATTTACTTTTAAGAGATTTTTTATAAACCTAATGGAATCTGAACATAAATCATTATTGCCAATATAATCTTTAATTATGCTTATTTTAATCAACAGCGGATGCGATCCACGAGTTCGCCAATCAGAATTGGAGAGATATATTCCAAGAAGTGGCGCCCCCTATCGTGAAAGTAATCGTGGGTAGGATTGTCTCAGAGACGACAAAATTATTCGACCATGTACCAATAGAAGAATTAGTTATACGATAGATTATATAATAAATTGATACTTACGTAATGAAAATTGTAAATATGGCAGCACATCAAGGTACCCTTAAACTGATGTTTTTAAAGAAATTCTAACTTTAATGTTTCGAGATATAGTTAAAAATTGATTAAATCTGACATTAAGTTTGAAATATTCTGATGTGCTGGAGGGACCTGGTTATGAATAAACAGTGTTAATTTATTCTAAATGTTCTTTTTTTTCTACTTATTTTCATTGTCGCAAAGCCTAACAATGGCCTTGAACTTTTACCCTCCTACCTACGTACCTACGTACGTGTTTGCATTATATTGCTCGGCTAAGTTTAATAAACCTAAGTAATTATAAACATGAAGTTAAATTGTTACCGGTATTGTTTAACCATTCTCGAGCAAATATAACTATAGAATGATATTTTTAGAAAACATAAGAAGGAAAATACAGCCAAGATTGTTTAAAATATATTTTGGTTGAGATATTTCTAAAAACGGAAATTTAGTGTGTATTTGGGGACATTACACCTATATCAACACAGACATACATATATTCTAAGACAGAAATAAAATAAAATCAAGATGTTGTACTCAATATCGAACCCGACATCCCTTGTTTTGCTATTTTTTTATGGCATAAGCCAGTAAACGAGCCGATAGATCACCTGATGGTAAGCAATCGGCATCGCCCATGGACACCTGGAACATCAGAGGCGTTACAAGTGCGTTACCAGCCTTTTGGGGATTAGGAGTTTGGGGGTCGTTGGGGATTCAGGGATTGGAGAGATTAGGGAAGGGGAAGGGCGGTAAATGGCGTAAATTGTGTACCATAATTTTGTCATAACCGCTGCCATACCCCCGATAATATTTATAAAATAAAAATAAAATAAAATAAAATAACGTTTATTTCGGACAAGTGAAGCATCCATAGGGGTTAGTGAGAAAACATTTAAAATCTTAAAAACTATGTTAGTACCTATAGAGATATTGTTACAAGCCTACTGTTGGGAATACATCTTCGCACGATACCATGTATTATAGGTGAATCGTACCTCCCTGCAATGGTTTTCAAGATGGAGTTGGAACTGGCCCGCACCCTGCAGAGCAGCGATGCAGACTTCTGTCTGATAATGGCATGGAAGTCATCAACGTGTGCTTGAGCGAACATGCCAGATGCACTGCAGAAACGGGGCAGTCCCATCAACATTCTGAACCCATTATTATATTGGACTCGCAGGGCGCTGATAGTCCGCAAAGTATAGCCGGCCCACAAGCTGCACGTGTAGAACACTTGACAATATGCTTTAAAAAGTGTTACTTTAACCTCCTTGCTACAACGCGCAAACCTGCGCGCCAGCCTATTACATCGAACTGCCAGCGCCCTACGTTCCCGCTCAATGTCTACATGGTCTATTTATGATTTCTTATTGCCATGTCTGTTGTGGTTAGATACTACATATTACGTAATAGAAGATTTCAGAGAAACCTATGTCACTTGTATACGTACCTACAGGTAAATATTGACACACACAAAACACATACAATTGTGTATATATGTATTTATATAGTTACATTACATAGTTCGTGCAAAAAACTTCATAACCACGCGCTGTGTATAAAACAGAAGTAATGAGGTTTCTTAGTAACTATTAATGTTTATAGCGGCGTATTAACACGAATGAGGGATGTACAACAAATAAAATATTTACACTTGGCTGTTTTTCCTCGACTAATTAAGTTATTGAGCCCTAAACACGGCAAATAAGGCCGGTAATTCGGAGTCGCTGAGAACCTAACGGGTAACCGGGGCTCCGGCTCGACGTGCAGGAGAAGGAACGGAGTGATTTTTAGTCAGTAAGAGTCTGACACTCCCTCCCGCCTCACCCAGGCGGGAGCAGTCATTCGATGATTTTCCCCTCTTAAAAAAAATAAGGCCGGGAACGTACTGTACGAGTACGCTCGACAGTTTTATGATGACGCCCGCGATTACATTGTCATACGTAATTATTAATTTTGTTTACATGTTACATTTAGTTCAGTTCAATAAAGCTGCTTGACGTAGACATACATTGGTGTTATCTTCCACATACTACATTAGAATTCCCAGTACATACGCACCGCAGCTGTGAGCTCCTACATTTTATTGGTCCTTCGAGCCGTATATGAACCAGCAACCTATGGATAAATGGTCATTGAATTCGATCCTGTTGAGTAAAGTGTGAGTGAAGACTGCCTTCATCAATAGCGAATCGGCTGGACTGGCCTCCCACAAGCGGGTCTCACCAGTCTAGTTGAGAAGTCACATATTGTGAGGGTTATCTGCTCACGTGGAACCAACTGACACCTACACGTACACTTGTGACTCCTGTGGTGTTGCCCATCACCGTAGTCATCATCATATAGCCATAGGACGTCCACTGCTGAACATAGGCCTCCCACACAGATAAATTAATTAATATCTATGACCTCCCCCAATGACTTCCAGATAGGCCGGTTGGCAGCGACCTGCATCCAGCGTGTACCCAAGGGTGGCACTAATTGCTTACTATCAGGTGATCCATCTATCGTTTGCCCCCGACTCTATAAAATAAGATAATAATAATAACTTTCTTCATGATATTATTTCACCTCCAGTTTAAGATCTCTCGAGAACCTAGATAGTCAAGTTCAATAAAATTTACACTAAAGTTCTAGCGTATGGTATGCGTGTTGTATCTGGTAAAAACCGAATATTACCAGATTTATAGAAATCATAATAACACAACCTATTTGGATATCAAAACAAATATTTTCAAATTGCATTGTTCAGTCAACTAAAACGGGGGGAAACCCACTCAAAGGTGCAAACAAGTTTAATTTAAAAACAATTAACTTAAGTAAACGTTTGAGATTTAATACAAAATATTTTCTAACCTCTAAATCGGCCTGTACAAGTTAAACAAGAAAGAACGTAAAGCCTAGATCAATATCGTAAACGCATTGAAGCGATGCGTCAGGCTAAATAAATAGATTCCCAAATCAATGACCGCTCATTTTCCGATAACCTTAAAAAAATAATGTTTGTCTTATCTTTGTCTTTACAATCAATTTTCAAGTGATAGAGACAGTTTACACTGGGTTCATTCGTTATTTTACAAATCTTTATTTTTTATTGTCATCATTTTTTTATTTTAACTAGGTAGTTATACAGAATAGGTACAAAAAGAACTACTTACTATAGAGGTAAGTCAGTTGGAACGCCGCACTCGAGTTCAATTTCAACAAAAAATATATTTTTTTTTATTTAAATTTTATGGACTGTGTCGTGGTGGCCCGAAGGTTCAAGACGCCCGCTTCACATAAAGGAGGGTGCCGGTTCGAAACCTACCAACTTATAATGTCTAATTATAAGTTTGAAATCGCCAACCCGCATTAAGCAAGCGTGGTGATTAATGCTCAAACCTTCTCCGTGTGAGAAGAGGCTTTGCTCAGCAGTGGGCACTTAATGGCTGTTGATGAAACTTTATGGATTGCCTCATTGGCCGAGTGGTCGCAAGTGCGACTGCCGGGCAAGAGGTCTCAGGTTCGATTCCCGGGCCGGGCAAAGCGTGATGTTAAACTTTATTTTCAGGCAACTATAGATACTTGTAGTACACGTGTAGTTCTTTTATACTCGTATCAACCAATGATGGCCTTAATAAAATAAAACAAATCTACTATATCCCGAAAAACTAAAAAAGGCGTTTTCTTGAGGAACAAGGAGAAGAAATTTTACAAGAACTCAACTTCTTATCTAATTCAACGGTTTTATTCAGATTGAAGCCTGAGTCACCTCTATTAAAATGTGATTCTAAAGAATAATACGTAGTTACAATAACTACAATAAGATGTAAGTAGGTTTATGTATAACAATGGAAACTATTATAATTATAATTATTATAATAGAAGCGAATTAGCCTTTACTGTGGTTTACGTTTCAAGATCAAACCTACGTAAGTTGAAATAACTTTAATTTAAACTCTATTTTATTGTAGAGAAACGGCAATGATGCCGTTCTTTAAAAAGTAAGGTACAACAGACGGGTAAGCATTAACGAAAATACGTAGTAAATCAATACATATATTTTTTTTTTATGGAATAGGAGGCAAACGAGCAGACGGATCACCTGATGGTAAGCGATCAGCGCCGCCCATGGACACCCGCAACACCAGAAGAGTTACAGGTGCGTTGCCGGCCCTTTAAAAAGGAGTACGCTCTTCTCTTGAAGGTTTGAAGGTCGTATCGGTTCGGAAATACCGCCGACGACAGATCATTCCACAGTTTTGCTGTGCGAGGCAGGAAGCTACGTGAGAACCGCACAGTTGTGGCCTGCCAACCATCTATATGATGGGGATGCATATGCTGTCGTGAGGGTCGATGGCGAAAAGATGCGGCAGGTATCAGGTCAAACAATTCCTCAGAGCACTCCCCGTGGTATAAGCGGTAGAAAATGCACAATGAAGCTACATCTCTACGCATTGCCAAAGTGTCGAGCCGGTTTGAAACACCCGGACATCCAACAATCCGAACGGCACGCCGCTGAATGCGGTCCAGAGGAAGAAGCTGGTACTGGGGTGCCCCCGCCCAAAGATGAGAACAGTATTCCATGTGGGGCCGCACCTGTGCCTTATATAGAAGCAGGCGGTGGGTCGGGGTGAAATACTGCCTCGATCTATTGAGCACACCAAGCTTCCTCGAGGCTAATTTGGCCTTATCCTCTAAATGACCGCAAAACTGGACGTCGCTCGAAATATTGACACCAAGTATTCCAATACCGGCTGAGGCAGTTAGGGGGGTGCTTTGAAACTGAGGAGAGACGACCAACGGCAGTTTCTTAGCGGTAAACACGCAGACTTGTGTCTTAGTGGGGTTAAATTGGACCAAATTAAGTCCACCCCAATCAGAGATTCTCCCTAAAGAGGTCTCGATTTCAGACACGAGTCTGTTTCGGCTCTCTATGACGTTTTCCCGAGAAATGTTAGCGCGGCCGGTGTAGTAGGCATCGCCTGTGCTGTCATCCGCATAACAATGAATGCCGCTGATTTGCAGCATGTCATTGATATGGAGGAGGAACAATGTAGGCGATAGCACGCAGCCTTGAGGGACGCCTGCATTTACAGACATCAAGTCAGAGCATTCACCGTCGACGACGACTTTAATGCTTCTGTCTGCAAGGAAGTAGGAGACCCATTTGCATAATTTCTCGGGAAGTCCGTAGGAAGGAAGCTTCGAAAGAAGCGCTCTATGCCAAACCCGATCG